TAGCTCACCAGATATGTAATTTTTGCTCCTTGAAGGCCTACGTAATTGTAATAATATATTTGTTAGTTCTAATAGTACATTATTACGCGGCATGATATAAATACAGTGAAAATGAGATAACCATAAATGACTACCTATTGAATATATATTGAATTCTACATACATAGTTGGCCTTCCCTGGTTAGCTAATCTAAGATATTTTTAATTGGGACATTTTGAACGAGGGGTATTTTGATGAACGGGATATTTTGAGGGGAACTCAAACATTTTATTTTATTTATATGAACCATAAATCTTATATCTAATGAATTAAATGTTCATGGGTACTTTATTTATAATAGGTAGGTAATTTATTTTTATTTATGCTAATTTATAAAATAAGTTGAATTTATACAACATTGTATTTACTTTGTATAGGTTCTCTATCCGTGCAAAAATCGTTTCGAAACACTTTAAGGATCGTCCACTTCCGCCATCAGAAATGGTCAACTATTGGTTTGAATATGTACTTCGCCATAACGGAGCTTCCCATTTGAACTCTAAAGCTTTTAATCTGACTTGGTACCAATACTTTTTGTTAGATATAATCACTGTTGTAGTTATACTACTTGTTATTTTTGCTTACTTGACGTTTATTCTATTCCGTTGGTTTCAATATTATACATTAAAGTTGTATAAACTTAACCAAAGTCACATTACTGTTAAGAAATAGTTAGTTGACAATCATCAATAACATTTTAAGAAATAATTAATCGATGCTATATAAGTTGTCGTTTAAATTTGATTTATTTGTTTACAGTTCTCCTATAGAGTTATTGAGTTATAGCATTACACGAAGCAAATTTCCATTAATGGTTATTATCAAAATAATTGGCGCACTTTTTAAAACCATGTTCAGTCTCTACCATAATCTTTATAGCATATAGCATATACCTACCATGTATCACATACCTTGTACCATGAACACTCTACTTAACATCTGTAAGCTTATAACAATAAAGGGGAGTTTACACTTCAGCTGGATTCATAGCTACGTCGTGTCGATCAAACCACTTTCTGATTGGACTTTTGACTTTGGATATAGTGGTATTACCAATTTAAAACCGAGGATACCAAGAATTAAATACGGCCTAACTTTTAAACTATTATGGTTACCAAATAACATGACACATAACGTATAGCTGCAGTGAATCCGACTTATTTATGTTGTGTCGTGTCGTGTCGTATCTAGTTATGATCTTTCCAGGTGTTTTATTATTTTAATTAATTAATTTGTTTCGTTATCATTTTTCTGCACATATCTGTAACCACACGACCTAAAGTTGAACAAATTCAGGTGGGTTTCCACTATACACGTTCGCATAAATCCTTTGCTGTAATTTGTTGGTCAGGTAAGGTTACCACATGATTAACCACCACGTTACTGTGTTGTTAGCTGAACATTTTACGTGTTCCTACTTGGCACACGCGTATAATGGGAACCCGCCTTTTAAGTATGCGGTAACGTTTGGTTACAGAAGTATCGTGTGATAAAATATACCATATTATGGTATACGTTAATGGAACCACGCAGTTCAGCCAATCAGAGAAAGTTGTTCACTCGACACGACTAGGTGAATGTGTTAACCCCCCCTTTATACGTTCATTACTGAGAAATCGACCTTATCTGACAATATCTTGTCGCTGCCAATCGGAATTGAACGCTTTGCACTTTTCATTAGCAGTTATTTCATTTTTATAATTATTCTTTGATTGAAATGTCGAAAGAGGATCTCATTCGGGTTATAAGTGTTATAACGGACTTTCGGATTTTTTTTTCAGTATTGTTAAGAAATGTTCAAAATTTTAGATCATGATATAGTATTATATAGTATTTGATACAAAAATGTGTGTTACATAAAAGATATAAATAAAACTTGAGTGGAATCTTCGTCTACAAACGTTTAAATGGCGGCAGAGGTAATAATGCTAATATTGATTTTTTAACTATGATGATAATGTTCATAAATACATGCCGTGTTTAAATATAAAGAAAAATCAAATTTATAATTTAAAATGTTACCCAACTTTTAATTTATAGTAACTGCTTAATCTTATGTTGAATATTTTATAAGGTTATTTTATTGTAAATTAATTTTTGTCCCAAGAATAGATTATTATTATTATTATTATTGGCTATTGTGTAAGTTAAGTACTTTATTTTGGAAAGTTTTTATATATAAATTACGGTTTTATGAGTCCATTTAAGTATAGTAACTAATTAGTAAGTATACCATAAGTATATATAGAGATTAAATCATATTTTAGTTAAATTAATGGAATTATACTTATACAAATTTAAATTTACTGGAGTTATTGTTGAATAAATAAGATGAAGAGCTTATTAATTGTAACTAGTATAATCAAAACTAAAATATTGTCGAATGTTTATAAATTATAATTTTTATATGTGGTTAATTTAAATCGTTATAATTTTTATATAAATTATGTTAGTTATTTTGATTTTCTGATATAATAACTAATAAGTATTATCATATATTTTTTTTTATTAATAAAATGTTGAGATTTGAATAACTTAAGGGTTTTAATAAATTTAGTGATATAATATAATATTTCCTTCTAGGATAATATTTGAACATCTTGATATACTTCTAATGAATCACTCTTACTGCAGTCTCACCCAAAAATTTAACATTTAGGGTTAGATATAATTTGTGTAATATAGCCAATATAGGGCTATGGAGGTCTACTACAATAATTCATGTTATATATGGTTTCCACGTCACCAGTTAAATAACTAAAAACAATTATTTCTATAGCTAATTTTTTATATTCTTTTAATAATAGACTATAATGAATATATAATATAAATATTGTTTAATATAGGTAGTACCTATAATAGTTACTTAACAACTAAGCATATAAAAAAATAATAATTAATGACAAATTTCATACTTGCAAATTTGCAACTGTCTGAAAATTTGGCATTCCATTTAGGAATTAATAATTATAAAACCCTATCGTTTAGGCAATGACCCGTAAATTTTACACTTCGATTTTTTATTTTGAAAATACATAGGATGTAAAACATAATACTTACAATTCAATTTTCCTAAATGTAAGCTGCACTAATGTTATGATATGATTTAATAGTAATACTGTTCATAATTTATAATGTGTAAAGTGCTTGTCGTTTCGTAACGATATGATAGGCAATAGTGCTTGAAATCATTCCTTTGCGTTTTATTTTCGCTTGTGACTTGATTCATATCTAAACCATTATATTTTTAAGACATGGTATTCATATAATTCTTTCTCCCGAGTCGAAAAAAATTTTGTAAATAATATTTATTTATCGTTTATTATAATTATCTTGTAATTCTTTAAAAATAAAACAGTATCAAATAATTCTGACTATATTATATGAAAACGATTTTAAGTGATATGTAGATGATATATGAAGAGGCTTACGTGACCGAACTCAAACAATAGTTGGATGACATCACGTTATAATGTTGTGGTTGTGTTGTTGTTATGCAATCAAGATAGTCTCCAGATGGACAATAACATATTCCAACCATCAGCTCTATAATTTTTAATTAAATTTGAAAAACTTATAATTTTGGCTTGATATGTCCAAAAGTTATTTTTTTCGTTCATAGGAATAATCAAAATCATATTTAAATAAAATACTTTTATGTATCATTAAAAATATTTCTATTCATATAACGATAAACCATTTTATACTTGAACAAACGTAAAAGTTTTGATTATGCATAAAAGTTTAATTATGTATACATAAATGTTTAACCTAATAATTGCCTTGTATTGCCAAACGATGAGTTCCATAATGTATTATATACCTATTCATAAACGATCATGATTAATGATATGTTTGTTTGTTTGTTTTTTTTATTGGAATAAAGGCTTCAACATCACAGGTCATTAGCCTAAAATGATATGTTTTATTACGCATAAGTCTTGTAATATAACACAGCTATTTTTAGCTACATGGAAAATTGGTGTACCTACTTTTGAACGATATCATTATCTACTTAAGCCGCTAGGTATATGCCAGTTCATTCTATTCTATCGTTCATATTATAAACCACATTCCATAACCATATAATATTATTATGCTTATATAGGTACCATGTAACTGCAAATAAGACCACTCATGGCACGTGATATTCAAATTCAAAAAATATATATATATATATATATTATATTACTACGAACGTGAACGTCTTCACAATAATTTACGCTTTTTTTCCAGCAGAAAATAGGTAAAGTCAAAGTGCGTATTACAATAATTAATAAAATAATAACTAGGGCTGTGAATTCATAAGAAAGTGCATTTTTTTTTGGTGATTGTAAAACATAGCTTTGTATGAGTACATAATTTGAATTATGTAATAACGAATACATCTATGAAACTTTTATTTTGCATATTTTTGCATTTTTTGACGTTTTTAATTTTTTAGGTCATTTTTTCGCATTTTTAGGTCATATTTTGCTTTTTTAGTTCATTTTCTAGTATTTTTAATCAAATTCCGTCAATTGACTTGTTTGAAAACATTTTTWTTTTATTTTACACGGGCTGTATATATTATGTCAAATTTATATTTTATTAAATAATATTTTACACGCTAATAAAATTTTTTATCTTAATATGAAATATTAATGCGAATACATGTATACGTCATATTCAACATATTATATACACTTACGCAGCAAATTTAAAATGTGGTCTTAAAAATTCTAAATGCTTAGCCCAAGTCCAGTTTTTATAGCAATCTAAATGCTTTTCTTTAGAAGCACCTGCAGCCTGTCCCCAGGGGCGTCTCCAGACCTTGGCTATGGGGGGGGCGAAATAATAAAAAAATAAATATTAATTTACATGAGAATATGGGATTCAGATACTGAGTGATGAACCATTTTTTTTTCAAACACTTCATTTGGAATATTTAATCCTGATAATTTAATTTATCATATTATCATAACGACATAACGTATTATCATATTTAAATCTATAACACTTATCAGTTGACTCCACTTATCAGTTATCATGGCCATGTGGAKTWGTTGCAAGGTTTATAGATACTAGTATGATACTATATGATCGCGAATACGTGTTTTGATAACAAGATAATATTGTGAAATTACTGAAATTTCATATTATATAAATGTCAAATAATTTAATATAAATTATAAAATTTACTAATAATTACTATGCAAGTCAGTCACCTTACGGGGGGGGCGATCGCCCCTTTCGCCCCCCCACAAGGACGCCCCTGCCTGTCCCGTAGTTGTACTATTTGCTTTTAAATATTTCTGGTAAGAATCCCTCAAGTTCTTCCATTTATTTTTTTAAATTTCTCCTTTAAAAGTTAAAATATAAAATAAACACATTTTAGTGTATTAGGTACCTATCTCAATAACTATATAGTATATTTATATTAATTAGTAATAAATTACCCAAAATAATATGTAAAACAAGTATTTATTAAAGGTTAAAACATTTAATAAATAAGGAGTGTATAGACTGTATAGAGTAGAATTTGTAAATTTTCAATAAAATAAATTTTTTCAATATTTTTGAAATTCTAATGGTTATGAAAAAAACGTGCCTATGTATTTTAATATTTACCAACTGCTACTACCAACTTATGGAGAACCTTGTATTAAATTCTCAAGTTTTTTGATCCAATGAATACAGTCTTATTGACATTTATAGAATAAAAAATTTAAAAAAAAAAACGGAAAATTTATAATTTCTATAAATAACTTAAAAATAGCTTGAAAATGTTATCAAGTATAGAAAATGCCAATATAAACATCCAGTAAAAATGTCAAGTGTCTACGGTAATTTGTTTTAGAGTTACCTACACCAATATCTAAAATCGATTTTCTCAAAAAATTGATTTTGCGTAAAAATKCCCGTATTTCCTTAAATTTTTTATTGTTTTTTTCCGGTTCTTTTGAAAACTACTGTGAATTTCTAAATTTCACATCCCCAGTGTACGAACTAGATTCACTTTCTAACCTCAAAAGCTACTTAAGTTGAAAATCGAAGCATTATTTCGACAACTTATCGTGTACACACATAAAAAACACATCATTTTAAAATCAATATTCGCTCTGCTCAAAATCTAAAATAAAAGCATGAATAATTTATTTATTTATATGAATAAAGGATAATTTTTCATTCTGAATATTTTTAGTCGTTAAAATTATGAATAATATTTAATACTTATTTTGACATGTAAAATKATRGTATATAGTAAATATTATTAAAAAAACCTTAGTACGAACGTTATTTATAGGATTTAGGTAAATTTATTATTTATTTGATTTTTGGGAATAATTCGAATAATGCCCAACTCTGGTAGGATAAATCATTATACATATATATAAATGTATAACAAAGACTAGTGTCTAGTACAAACGACATTTTTATTTAAAAATATAGGTTATTAAATTAAATATGTTATTTATAAAATAATATGAAATCTATTAAGTAAATTTATCATTTAAACAACTTATTTGTATTAATTATTGAATATTTTAATTTTAAGATATTTATCAACTGTTGATTCCCTGTCAACTATTGGACACAGCTTTCGTGTTGGTTTTTCAACAGTTAGTAAAATAATTGTAGAAGTATGTGAAGCTATAATCAAGATAATGGGACCAATGTTTATGCCTGAGCCTACTACAGCAATTTGGGAAGCTTCGGCTCGCGGTTTTTACGAGAAATGGCAATTCCCAAATTGTATCGGTAGTGTTGATGGGAAACACGTTACCATCAAATGTCCGGATAATAGTGGATCTAGAAATTTTTGTTATCTTAAAAAATTTTCAGTTGTTTTGATAGCGATTGTAGATCCAGATTATAAATTTATTTGTATTGATGTTGGAGGTTACGGACGAAATTCTGATGGAGGCATTTTAGAAGAGTCTGTAATGGGTAAACGGCTGGAAGCCGGGAATTTAAACGTTCCAAAAGTATACCATTACCTGGTCAAGAGGAAAATACCCCAATGGTTCTTATCGGAGATGAAGCTTTTGCTTTAAAAAGTTATTTAATGAAACCATTTCCACACCGATTATCAAGAAATGACATAAGACTAGATACATATAATTATAGACTGTGCAGAGCAAGGCGGGTAGTTGAGAACGCATTTGGTATCTTAACAAAAAAATGGCGAGTTTAWAAAARTKCGATCKAACTAAAAKAACAAACTACAAAGCTAATAATATTAACAACATGTATTTTACATAATTACTTGCGCATAAAAAATTGTGATATTGATTACACTTTGGATTCAAACGAAGAAGAAATAACTCAACGAGGGGCCTTACATGAATTTGAAAACACTAATCGAAGAGGAACGAATGAATCTATACAGATTCATGAAAATGTTGTAAAATTTTTTAATTCATAACTTTACAAACACAGTTGTCCACTGAATTTTCTAATTATTATTATCCTATACTATTGCAGAATATTATGCAGTTGAACACTCGTATACTTGTTTTCAATATTTAAAAAAAAAATATTACTCATATTATGTTAATATACGATGATACTTTTGCTAATACACAATTATTATTTAATGCAATTAGTAAATTATTACTATATTAATATTATATACATTTAAATAATGTACTTACCTTTTACTCCGTTCATTTCTAGACTTATGATATTATCCCAGGTATAATCCTTCTTCCTTATATCTTTGTATTCTGTCGACGTCATATCATACATAAGAGGATATTTTTGCACAACGAGAATTAATTTTTAGATATCTTCTTTTTTAGAAAGATTCATCGTCATGATAACTTATTAAGGTAATATTAAGGTAAGGTCGAGTATAAATGACACTGCGACAGCACCACAGCGAATGGCGAATGAAATGGTGTAGGAACGTATTTTAACATAATAAATACCAACTTTTAAGAATAAATTATTTGAGTAGTTCAGTTCCTTGTACGTGTATTATGAAATTATCAAAAGTCCCTAATTAAATGTACCTAAGTTATACCTATATGTTGTGTAGAATTTCTGGAAATATTAGATAAAGTATACCTACTAAACATAAATTAAAATATAATTTATAATATACAAGATACGATATTATACTCATTATAGTATACGAATATAAAGCTAAACGAACATTTCTTTGAATTTAAAAGTTTACACATTATTTGCACTAGATATTACTACATAGATATATCGCTACTATTTAGTTAGCTACTCATATAATCAAATTAGTTTTGTCAGAAATAACATATATTATACAATAATTTATGATATAATATATTTATATCTACAATATAGGTATACAATATACCTATATCGTTCCGCGGTAGCGGTAAAATTGTAGCATGCAGCAATTTCCTGCAGCGGTAATTTACCGCTGCGTTATCGCCGGCGGTTTTCGCTCCGATGTGGGCACTTACATTACAATACAAGGTCCCCATTATATCGCTACCGCCGCAGTGTGTGGGGACCTTTAATACGGTTCACAAATGTGTAAAATGTTTCCGCAATAAACCAATTTTTGTTCAACCTATTATGGGTGACTTGCCCGGTGACCGCGTCCAACCAGGACGAGCMTTTTTAAAATGCGGCATAGACTTCGCTGGTCCATTTTTAATTAAATCTAGTGCGTTGCGTAAATCACCGATTATCAAAACATACGCGTGTATTTTTGTGTGTTTAGCAACCAAGGCCGTGCATATCGAGGCAGTTAGCGATTTAAYGACGAAAGCATTTTTGAACGCGTTAAACCGGTTTTTCGACCGTCGTGGTAAAAGCGCTGTTATRTATAGTGRTAATGMGACCAATTTTGTAGGCGCTAATAGAAAATTAAAAGAAGTACATCAATTATTTCAATCGAAACTATCGCAAGAAGACCTACAGCGGAATTTTACGAATATYGKTGTAAAGTGGCTATTCATTCCCCCTCGTTCACCACACTTCGGCGGACTGTGGGAGGCTGCGGTCAAGTCTATGAAAACGCTGTTAGGAAGGGTATTAGGCGAAGCTCACCTAACATTCGAAGAATTATGTACTGTATTAACGCGCGCCGAAGCATGCTTGAACTCACGTCCTTTAACCACCTTATCGTCTGATCCTTCCGATCCTAGCCCCCTCACCACCGGGCACTTCCTTATAGGAGACTCTCTCACCGCGTTGCCAGAAGAAAACATAACCGATACACCGATTAATCGACTAACACGATGGCGTAGAGTTACTCAATAMTCCCAACAATTATGGCGTCGTTGGAGTAGAGAGTATTTGTGCCAGCTTCAGGAAAGGTCCAAATGGTCTAAGGAGAAGGGTCCGAAGCTGAACGTAGGTACAGTAGTTCTAGTGAAGGAGGACAATCTGCCTCCGTTACAGTGGAGTTTGGGAGTAATCGACCACGTTTTTCGAGAATCCGATGGAATCATTCGGTCAGCAGAAGTTGTGTCGGCAGGCCGTAAGATTAAAAGGGCGGTTCGGACATTATGTCCACTTCCTTTTGAGGGTAATATTGAATAAAAATTATCTATATTATAATCTATATTATTACAAAATAAGAAATTAAATATCATGTCAACCCAGAATATCTTTTTATGCGATGTTATTTTATCCTTATCTACATAATGTATATGCGTGTTATCGATCACCTTTTCTATCTCTATAATATTACCATTTTGCTTATTTACCGAWATTATTTTACGCRKTGGTCGAATATTTTTTGTTCATTAAAATTTGTAAATGATTCTTATCGTTATGTTTATATTTATTGAAAAATGAGATTCGTAAATTATTGATATTATTATTATCTTTTTAGTATACGCTTATGATATATCAGCTGTATTATTGTATTATTGGTATTTCAAATCAAAATTATTATTTTTTTTTATTTTTTATTGTTTATGTTGAAAATTAATATTTTCATGCCGGGAGTATGTTAGCGCTCGAATGGTATTATATTATTATTATTATTACTTTATTAGTTGTCGCCGCTCGCTATCTCAGCCATATTATATTATTATCTTTATATTGTACTTGCGATAATTTGTGTTATAAGCAGTCGCGTATCGAAACTTGTACCGAGCACAGCGAGCGACCCTACAGCTATTCGTGTTTAATAAAGTCTTATACAGTCCACTTAAATCGTCAGTCTTTTTTATTAAAGATTTGTTCTCAGCTATTAAACACACTTTTTTGTACTAATGTTTAATATCCTGTATCCAATATTAATATAAATATAAAAATTAAATTAAAAACCATTTTTAATAAATTTTATACTATAATTTTTGACATTTTATATTCCTTTTTTTTGCATTTTAAGTGCATATTTTTGACATTTTTAATGCATTTTTTAAGGTTTTTTAGTGCATTAAATTCACAGCCCTAATAATAACATGATAATAATATGTAAACATAACACGTGATGGATTGCGTCAATCTGTGTTGCGCCGGATTTATCGTCTGCAAACATATCAACGCATCGTAATAATAATATGTATATCAGACTATGTTTAAAAATATCCCACTAGGTAACTATATATATATTTTTTTTTAGAAGGAATAGAAGGATGCTGTAGACTTTTTTTGTTTTTCTGAAACGCTATAGACGATGTTTTTTTGCTGCTGAGATATGCTTCAAAAGACTTATATTTGTATGGTTTATTTTTTATTAATTACATTTTTAGGGAATTTATTACATTTTTCAAGTAATTTTTGTAATTTTATGAGTTTATCCTATTTCCGTTATCAGTTATTAATGTTATTGCCTATATAAGCAACAGTACTGGGGAAGTTACTTCTTTTTGGTGATTACATAACGTCATGAGTCACTTTTCAATATTGTAATTAAGTTATTCTTTGAAGTTACTTTTTTTTATTTGGTTGAGAGTTCCATTACTTTTATAATAGTTAAAAAAGTAGCTTCACCATCACCACAATTATTAAAGTTGCTTACTTAAATTACTTACAATAAAAAAAATGTAACTAAATTAGGTACTATAAAAATGACTTAAAAAGTGATTTCGTTAGGTACGCAGTAACTTGTGAAGTTGTAACTTCCCAACACTACGGCCTATAGGTATGTAGTTATATTGTTATAGGTACGACAATGGCCAGCATAAAACGAGAAGGGTTTTATTATTCTTATAATATTCTATCGATATCGTACTCAACGCAACGATATATCGAGTGGTCGATGAGCGTCAACGATTCCGTCCTCCGCTGTATCGCGGCAACGTGCGTCGCAGATTACCGAGCGCTTAGTTCTCGAGGCACTTGCTCATCCAAGTTGTATATAAATCGTTCGACGTCGTGCGGCCAGTTCCAATTGCTGTCATGTCGCCGACCTATCATCTTCGTGTCATCATCGTCCTCGTCCTCTGCGTTACGACACCATTTGAATGTGGGCCTGCACGCGACGCCACTGCCGCCGACTGGTTTTCGCGCGGCCAACATACTGGCCGTGGAAACTGTGCCCGGTCAGAGCCACTGGAACTTTATGAGCGCCGTGCTCCGAGCGTTGACTGACCGCGGCCACTCGGTGCAGGTAGCGTTTACATCGTACCCGGCGCAGTGGCCGCCGTCTGCGCACGGTAATTATACGGAAGTGGACACGTCCGGCGTGCTGCTCCGGCACGGCGGCGAGCTGGCGTCCCGTGTGCTGTCCGACTACAGCCGGATATCGTTCATCGTGCCGTCCGTGGTCCGATGGAGCAGACCATAGAGTAATATAGAGATGGCGTCTTGTATATCGACAGTAGAATCAAATTGAAACCATCGAGGAGGCAGTTTACAATAGTCTTATCTTGTAGATCGCGCTGCAAATCATTACAATTTTTATATGATATGTAAATTGATAATATGATATTATTGTAATTATCATAGAGTATTTTTAACCTATTCTATGGTAATTATTAATTCTAACTTTTTCGTTTTTCGATTTTCAATTTATTCATATTATATTATCTTCAGCAAAATGCCGTTTTGTTTGTGGCAGAATTAGGGATAAAAATTCAACAATTGAAGATATTACTTTTCATAAGCGAAATAATATATAATAATATAAATAATATTATTATAAACTTTATTGTAATTATAATAATAAGATATAAAAATCTTAATAATTAGTATTTGAATATATTGTAATATACCTACAAAAAGTGATTATTTGCATTAAATTATGCAATTATTAAATATTATTATTATTAATACATTTAATTAATATTTGTGTTATAAATGTATTATGGACAATAAACATACCTAAATAATATAGATGGAGTAGACAGTTCTGCGACGCGGTGTACGACATGGAACAGATTCGAGCGCTCATGGTCAACGGCACTGACGCGGCAGCCAAGTTCGACCTGCTGGACACCGAGCCGCTGGGCTCCGAGTGTGTGGCACACCTGGCCGCTGCCATTGGGCTGCCCATGGATGGTGTACGTGGTACCGACATCCATGATCACGTACATGCAACCGTCCATCATCGGCCACTCGGCCAACCCGGCGTACGTGCCGCACCTGCTCTACGGCTCAGCATTGCTGTCCAGACGTTCCGGCACAGGTTGGTCAATACGGCAATGTACGCCTATGGGCAGCTGGTCCGGTGGTACTCCGAACGCACGGCCCTACGACAGCCGTACGACATCGACGAGCCAACTAAACCGTCGATCGTGTTCGTCAATAGCCACCACGTCACAGAGCTAACTATGTTACTGCCCGCCAACGTCATACACGTCGGTGGAATACACTTGATGGATCGAAACAGTGGCACACTACCAACCGTGAGTAATATACGAGTACACGATGACTTTAATATGGCTATATATATGAACATTTGATAGGGTGACCTGCAATTCATTATATTAGAGAAGTTAATTTTTTTTTTTTATTTGATCGACATACATTACGTCTCTATAGTCTATAGGATTAAAAAAGTAACTTCATTGCAAATATGAAGTAGTTTTCAATAATAGAACCAGGGGAGTACCTAATTGTAAGGGGGATAGATTCCCTCCAAAAAACTTTTATTTTCCTAATTTTTTTCTTAAAACGTATTTAAAAATGTAACGTGAGTAATTTAATGATTTTACAACCTACAAAAAATTAACTTAAACTACAAATAAATTACTTACAATAAATTGTAATTAAATAGCCATAAAATTAATTATAAAAAATAATTTCATTGCACCCTCTCCTCCCATCACTGCAAATTCATATAATATGTGCAATTAATAGGGTTAAAATTATCTGATGGACTACTGTCCTCCCAAACCTGTCGAATTAACCCAATGGCTGACCCCCGTCCCTCACCAACTTCACGAAGTAAAAACTCTAGATTGCAATCTTAATAAATGTGCTTTTTTAGTGTGATACTTCATGTTCTACGTGACACTGAGAAATTTTGAAAAGTGAGCCCCTCTACTCAAATTATAGAAATGGTATAAAAACCAAAATGTTATAGAATTTATTGCACTCGTGTTTTTTAAAGATAGTGTTCAAATTGCAATCATAGAAATTAAAAATTGCATATTGCAAATACATGGTATACGTGGCTAATTGTTATTTTAAAAGCAATATTATAAACATATAACCTAGACATTAAAAATCAAAATCATCTTTCAACCATCGATTGGTATTGAGATATTCGTTTATAAACGGGGTATATACCTAATGTATAATGATCTAAACTGGTGGAATTTGAATTTCTAACATTACCGTTTGTTTATCCGGAGTGAAATTTGACAAAAATAAGTGCGATTCAACCCTCACTCTTATTAGTTGTACAAAGTTATTTACCAGTAACACTAGAATCACATTAACATAAATACTATTTCATTGTCAACTATTTATTGTTATTATTGATTTGTGGGTCGGTGTGCTAAATCTCAAAACCATATCTTTTGTTTATATCTATAAAGGAATAACTTACACAGTTACACGAGATATTAGTATATTATATATTGCTTGAGATAATACAAGGTTAAAACATTAACACATAATATTTAAATTTATAAAGCACTCGAAATATACAATTACGTTTTCTAAAATTAAAATCTTGACATACTCTACCTTCCTTTAAAACATGTAGCAATAGCCAATAGCAATGCCAATAACCACGTGTTTAATATTGTAAAATAATAATCTGAAGTTTCTACATTCAACTCATTCAAGTATACCTACCTATTTGGTATTGTTTCAAAATAGAACATAAGGTCACTTACACGTCAAAACTTCCACGATACAAGAATAATTGTAATATATATATTTATATGTAATAATATAATATATAATGTATAATATAATGATATTAATAATTTCATAGTTCATTTAATGTATTATCGACGTAATTAATTACTATAATCTATCCAATTAAACACAATATGTATGAGTGTTTGAAAGTTAGTTTCAACTAAGATTTTTAAGATTCTGATCGCTCCGATTATCATGAATTTTTAATTAATTTAAACTTTAAAGTTATTACAGTAAATTCCGTAAAACAGTTGAAACTGTTATAGTAAAGT